TAGATTGTATCAATTTGTATGAAGCTGGATTCAAGACTCCAGGAATACGATGAGAGAGGGTGGGAAAGAGGGAAAAAGGCATAGAGAGAGAGAGAGAGAGAGAGAGAGAGAGAGAAAGAGAGAGAGAGACATATAGGGTTATTCACTGAAGTGAGAGTATATTTCAAATGTAAGGCCAAAGTAGCCAAGCTAGAAGCTTATGTAATTCCACTATTTTGACTTTACATTTAAAATTCACTTGAAAATCATTTTGAACTTTCACTTTGGTGAACACGTGATAAAGATAGAGAGAAAGATAGAGAGAGTGTGTGTAACAGAGGAGTGAGAGAGACAACTTACTCAGGGAACTTAGATAAAAATTACTTAGAAAGAGACTGTGGGAACAATTTGCTGACCACTGAATGTGTACCCACATTGGAAATTTAGGTAAAAAAATATGAAGTGGGTGAAAATAAATTGGTTATTGAACTCAATTTTGTATATCCTATTCAAGGAGATTAGTTTTGCTAAATATATTTCCAAAAAGGTGATTGGTTGATCAATACAAAAATCTCACTTTAATGTCCCTTTATAGGTAACAATTCAGAGAAGCTTCAAAATATTCAAATACCATGTGAATATAGACACTAGAATATTCTGGAGCCCTGTAAATTGTACCTATAAAGTGTAATTAAGATAGGTCACTGTGTTGGCTTTAAGTTTTATGTGATACAAAATGTATTAAAGAAACAGTGCATTTAAAGCTATAGTGCTAAGATGCTCTTTGTACTGTCTGTAACACAGGTTTTTGTATTTATCAGTCATGTTTTTGGTGATCTTTATTGCAGTGTAATCAGTTTGTTTGCAAGTTCTTAGCAATGTGTGGGGGTGCATACAGTTATTATTGATTTATCTACATCTGGTTAATGGATTGTAATTTAACGTGAGCATATTTTTGCTGAAAAATTAGCATGATTTTAATGCATGAATTACAAAATATAGACGTTTGCTTGTTCGTCACCAGAAATCATAACTTCAAAATAATTTAATTTAGGGGGCTATTCAGCGAGCTCAATTCAGTACATTTTGATGTAGTAAATATAAGTAAATAACCAGCAAGTGGGTGTCCAAAACCCCCCTAAAACATGGATAGGATTTGCGGTCATAGTAGGTGAGGAGTGTTTGCCTAGTGTTACTCAGGTTCCATCACTCTAATTATCTTTTCCGTGATAAAGCAGCATATAAGGTGAACTGCCCTCTCTCTCTGCAGATATTCATTGTTCTATTTCGTTTACAATATTGTCATTACATGCAGCCGGACTACGGCACACTAGAGAGAGAGAGAGAGAGAGAAATATGACAAACACAGCAAGGGAGTTGCCTGCTATTTATTTATAGGCTGTAAAGAAAACAATAACAAAAATAATTAGAAATGAAAAAAAAAAAAAACGAAGAAATTAACGTGAGCAGATCCAGGGGGACAGCTTTATAGAGGACACAAATACAGTGTGTACCTTCAGCTGACAGACTTGCTAACAATTACATAAATTCCGAGATATCGTGTGTAGACCCCCTATTTCCTTTGGATCATTATCCCTGCCTTCTGCTTGTGAGTCTGTATTTTATAAATTCCCAGATTAGCAAAACTCCAGTACTGGGGGAGGGGGACAGTCGACAAATCCAATTTCTATATAGGGTTGGCACAAATAAATATCTCTAAAATACTGTGCCAACTGTCACAACTATGATTTTTGGCTTTCCATTCAGTGACTTGTATTAAAATGTCCAGTGCTGGTCCATCTGGGCTAGCACTTTTATCTGATAATGTTCAGCTTCATTTTACTCTCGTCGCTGAAAGTGACTCAAAGATTGTGTTTTGGGCAACAACAACAAGAAAATATTTTTGTATGGGAGGATGTAAAAGTTTGATATTGAAATTGGGTTCCTACCACCCCTCGACCTCAGTGGTGGAACTAATGCAGAGATGGCCCTGTTTTGGGACTCCCTATAGCGCAAGGGTGGCCAAAAAGTAGATCCCCATCTGTTGTACAACTCCAAAGATGCTATGAGAGCTCGAGATTTACCATTTATCTACTATTCGTGAGCAGTGTTTGTACGCTTGAATGTAAGCATGTTTTTATATACAGTATGTTTGTGCATGTAGAGATGTGTTTGTGTGTAATGTTGCCATTGGAATGCAGGGTTGTGTTTGTATGTAGTGTTGGCTTTTAAATGCAGATGTACATATATGTGTATTTTTGGTATGTGTATGAAGAGGTGTTTCTAAAGACCAATCAGGATGTCTCACAATGAGGGATACAGCAACCTAGAAAGATTGCATTGCCTTTGGATGTTATTGGATTATAACGCCCATCATTTTAAACAAGCCATAACCATACGTAAGCCCACTGCAGTGGTTATGATGTAAGAAGTACCCTGTCTCCCAGTTATGGTGCAATGGTTTGCCCTCTTACCTGGTCCTCCCGGGTGCTGGATTTTTTTCTAGGGCAGGCAGTGACTTTTGTCTGATTTCTGCAGAGCAGCAGAGCCAGAAGTGATCCTGCCAGCTCATTCATTGGCTGAGAGCAACTGCTGAGCGCTTTTAGCTATCGATTGTAATTATGTGCATCCTTTGCTCATGATGCCCCAATGACGCTGTCGGAGCAGCAGAAGGAATAATCTCTGCATTTGAAGAGTTTTACAGCGTAAAGTTGCACATGCATACGTCAGGTACCATAACCAATTCAAATCACTGAAGTGGTTATGGTGTTTGGAATAACCCTTTAAGTTCTATTTACTACAGCTTAATAAAGAGTCAAAACTCAAACTTTCTCTCACGCAACTAGGGAACCTTGTGATAAATCCCCCTCCGCTTTGCATCCTTATAAAATCTTTTTTTTGGGGGGGGTCTTGCTTCTATGCATAATTTGAATGAGTGGCACATTCCTGCTGCACTCAGAGGGTTAACAGCAAACGTAGAAAAAAAATCCATAATATGCATCCCCCTTGTCCCCTTCTGCTTGCCCGTGGGTCCCATCCTAAAAGGAAATGTGGGCCAACAGGTTAAGCAGTCTGGCTGTGGATTGATCGGACCATTCATCTTAAGACAGAAAACTTTCAGTCTGCCTAGGATCAATGGCATTATAAATTGGCTCATCGATTTCCGATAATAATGGCAGAGGTGGTTACACAAATGAATCTGCAGCCAAGGCCAGCGTCCAAAGAATCTCTAACTAGATCGCCATTGACCCTGACTCTGATACATAGACATAACTCTCAGATATTCTGTCAGTGTTCACCGTATAAATACACCAATCTGAACTCATGCTACGACTGATAATGCAAACTGTCTTTCACCCTGATATTCAAGGACTGGAATACATAACTTTCTCTATTCCTCCTCCTCATCCTGTCTCTGAAACAATTACCTCTAACTCTGATTCTCTCTCTTCTGTTGACATCTCTTGTTATATCAGTTTTTTCTCAGAGTCAAAGAATAAGCTATGTTTTTTTGTGTGCGTGTGTGCACAGTTATGTGGGTTTTTTTCCTTCTTCAGTACAGTCACAGCTGTCCCTATGTCTGGCATTCTACATCTGTGATCTGTGCAACTATCTGTAGCTCTGCTCCTTCTAACAATTATTGCACTCTCATTGTACCTCTCGGTGCAATCGTACCCAAACACCCCGCCGTTTCTTCTCCTCGCCCGTCTCTTCTCTTTCTGCCAATCAGCTCTGTTATCTTCTCATGACATACACAAACCAAGTGACAGGCATGAAATCGGAAACACAGATAGACAATGACAAAACCATAAAAGAAAAAAAAAAGAATAGAAAAATGACATGCATGGGGTTTCGCCTTAAGCTCCACAAAAGACAACCAGACCATCAAAGTATTATTGCTAGTGCTGTTCCTTCCACGAGAAAAATGTAAGGAAATTGTTCAAAAGGTACTACTGTATTGATGCAGATAAAGTCTTATCTGCAATGATTCAAGTTGGCGCACTCTGTCGAAGAGAAAAAAGAGAAAGATGTGCTGAATTCATAAAATTCATGCCAAAGGAATACCTCATTTTTTTTTCACAATGCCCTTGGACCCTGAGCTCATTTCTTGATCTTACCTCCACAACTCAAGTACATTCTTTCATCACTATCCACGATTCCCTGTATGATGTAATTCCAATCTCTAGTACTATAAATTTAATCTCTATTGATTAGGGTGATTTTTGGAGTAAAGCAAGATTAAGACAACAATGGACCTTAGGTCATGTACAACATTAGCCATCCCTCAACATTTTTTAAATTACCAGGAGGGCAAATTCAAGCAAACCAACAAAACGTCCAGTGTTTCATTCATGGTGAAGCTCCTAGAATTGTAAAAATGATGGAGAGATAGTGAAAGAAAGATTAATAAATAATATTTAAGAGAATAGAACTGGGAAATTTAGAAGAAGATTCTCTATGGCCAACAACATTGTCATTCAGAAAATGGACATTTTGCTGTGCTTTCTTGTTGTCTCTCTGCATGTGAAGGCATATATACAAAATATTTTAATATAACTTGCTGGAATGTGAGACCCCAAAAATAACTGGCATCAATCTATGTCCGTAGCTATCACCATAACCAAAATAATAAGGCAAGGAATAGTATTATTTTATTGGCAAATAAAAATAGATTTTCATTTATTTTTCTCATGTTAAATTTACAATATGACATTTTGTTAAGAGAGGTGTCATAATGTCTCTAATTTCTCTTTTTCATTAACTAGAATGGTCATGATCTCTCCTTGGTTCAATCCAGCATAAGGCATCGTTGCATTATGAGTTTGTAACTTTATACGCATATTGCAAGTGCATGAATGTTCTAACGTACAAAAAAATACAGTGTGCGTTTTCACCCTGTGCAATGAGTGTGTCAGAATTACTAATTGATCCAGCATGTAGAACTGTGTCACACCTAGGACTAATTGGTAACGTCTTACCGGACCTTAGAATGGCCGGACTTGATTAATATGTTATATTTTGCAATTCTTTATTTTTGCGTGCAAGGTTAGTTACAATACTACCCGTATGGCCACAACAGCCTTCCAGGTTTTCAAATGTTTCATGACATCACAACATAGTTTAGGCATATATGGCAGTCTGTCGATTCTAATCTGTGGTGTCAGCTAGTTCTGCACATTTTAATATAGTTTATGGGTCAGTTGGTGTCAAACTGAGGCAACATTGGAGTAAGTTTGAGGAGTGTGTCTTTTTCCCCTCCAGTGCCAGGATTGTAGTAGTGTGGGGGGGTAAAGAACTCAAGGGTTGTCTGTTTGGAGTTGGCTGGTTGCGTGTTTGTGCCCCCTTATATGTTCCCTGTTGGGGTTGATTGCGTGTGTGAATGGTTGTCCTCAGTGACGTTTGTGTCCACAGGTGAGTACTGTGGAGTCCGCATGTGTCAGCGTGTGTACGTTTGCGTGTAGGTATATGTGTGTATAGGGGTTGTCGCTCATTGAGCCTATTTGTGCCTCTGCGATCGTCCAGTGGGTTGGGAATTGACTCCTTACCGAGGAGGGGGGGTGGGAGAAGGTGTATTCTCCCTGGAGCTTTTGGTGTATGTGTCAGGGTAAGTCTTGTCTGATGTTGAGTCAGCAGCAGTTATTGTGTAGCGTGAGTTAGTCTTGTAGGTGCATATGTTACAGCAATACATTGATAAAATAAACAGTGAAACAACAGGTGAAACCAAAGGTAAAACAGAAGGCAAGACAGTAACCGGTTAATGCATTGTATGCTTGTTGGCTACAATTTTTACAGTTCAGGTCAGTTCTCTCCGGTGCTCTCTATTCCTGGGGATGAATGGAGTCGTTCTGTCAGGATCCCAGGTGTGCGATGACGTGGGAGTTTCTTGTGCTGCGGGTCCGGCTTAAATCCCCAGTGCGCGTAGGAACTGTTCTGCCTCCTGTAGTGAGGAGAGATAGTGTGTGTTACCGCTTTTGGTAACAGTCAGGATCCTTGGTAGAGTCCATTTGTACTCAATTTTAGCTTCACGCAGACTGCTTGTCACTTGTGCCAGGGACCTGCGCCACAACAGCGTGTTTCTTGTTAAGTCCTGGTAGAAGGTAATGTGGGATGATTCAAAAGCAAGTGGTGTCTTTCCCCTGACTGCTGTAAGGATCTTGATTTTGTCTGCCACTGAGTGGCACTGGATGATGACGTCTTGTGGAGCTGTGGCTGGGGCTTGTCTTGTTTTTTTGATCCTAAAGAAGCCGTCTAGTGTGAATTTTTTGGCCTGGGCATGTGGTAGGAGTGTGGCGGTGAGACGTCTGAGGTAGTGGGGTAGTTCTGTGGAGTCAACGCTATCCGGTATCCCCCTTAGTTTTAAGTTAGTGCGCCTGTTGCGGTCCTCTGCTAGGTCCATTCTCATATTGAGGTTGGACTGGGATGTCTGCATGAATATTATTTGTTCTTTTAGCCCCTGTACCTCTTGTTTCAAGTCTAGGGTGTCCTCTTCGGTGGCTTGAGTGCGTGTAATTACTGCCTGCATTTCGGTCCTTAGTAGGTCCATATCTGCTGCGTGCATTTGTCTCATTTCTTTCAGCAGGTCGGCTATGTCTTGTTTAGTAGCCGGTGTGATGTTAGTTCTGTTAGTTTGTGGATCCCTTATTGGGTGAGCGGTTGATTGTTCTTGTTCGGCTCCGGATTGCTCTCCTTCATCTTGGGAGGCAGTTGTGCGATCTGGTGAGGCCGCCATTGGTCTTTGCAGCAGGTCGCCTATGTCCTGTGTGTTCCTGCTTGTGTTCTGTGTGGGTCTCTGGGATTTTCTACCCATGTTGTAGTCGTTAGGCGCAGCTGTCCCAGTCTGCAGGTAGGCGTCTTGGTGCACTCTCAGAGCTGTAAGTTCTTGTGCTAGCCTTGAGGCTTGGTAGGCGGTGTAGGCCCCCCGTTTTTCCGTCTGGTCTTTCTGCACGTTTGCGGATACAAAAAAGGCATCGGCGTGTTGCTCACTTACTAGTGTTTCCCCGGGAGCCAGTAGAATTCCTCTGCAGGTGCCACAGGGCTTCGTTTTAGGGTCTTTTTGCCGTCGTTTGTCCGGAGCTCGGAGGTGATGCGACCGTTCCTGTCTGGTGCTCGGCTCCGCCCCCCCAATACGTTATATTTTGACATTGTTTCTGTTTGGGGTAACAGCAAGCATTTTAGATTAATTTAATAAACCCTTAAGAGTTAATGCTCATATTTCTAACAAGTATATCATCATTATTTTTTCAGCTCATGATCAATGTTCTAGAACGATTATGTTTGTCTGTAGTAATCCTATTATTAACACAAGATCGAACGCAGATTTATTGAACTCCATTACAGTCCATTAATATGTGGAAACATTTCTACTGTTAGAAATACACATCTGTGGGCTTTATACATTAAAGGGTCACACCAGACCCCTAAAGCACTTTAACTTGCTAAAAAGCTTTATTTGAAAAGTGTGTCCTATTTTTTTAATTTTGCAAAAATTGCAGATTTCAATAGAAACTGACACTTTTATAAATTATACGGGTTACACCCCTCTCGCTTGTCAAGCAGACAACAGGTCCTGGTACTTCTGGTTTTCGTTAGCTTAGTTGCAGTGAACTCAAGAGGCAGCAATTGCCCAAAGCACCTGCCTTGCAAAGACTTCGCATTGAGCTGCATTGGGAAGCTTGTGATTGGACAGCCACATAAAGTATGGGCGGGGTTAGAAGAGGAGGTCTTGCAAAGGCAGCAGAAAAGAGATCTTCAGTTTTTGCAAGCTGTTTTTAGATATAACTCCAATTAAAAAAGACATAATACAATGCATGCAAGTTCATTTGGTGTATATCTACTATCATGGATTCTTATCTATTTTGTATTTTGGCTGTGGAGTGTCCCTTCAATAAAAAAGGGATCTCTCACTTCTCAGGATTTTTAAAATTATGTTTACATATCCCCCTAAAATTAACATAAAGGGATTAATTGGGCAAGTGTGAAAAATTAATTAATCTAGAAATTCACTACTGTTTATTCTGCAACTGGGTGCCTCTATCTTAGCTCAATGTCAATAATTCTGTCTCCTAGTTCTGCCTAGACTGAACTGGATTGTGAAGTCATTTGCAAAGATTTAAAAGAAAGTGTCACATTTAAAAAAGGTTACAGTTATAAGTGATGTTCAATGATTATTGTGAAAAAAGTCCAGAGGAGTGGTGTTTCCCCTTTAAGAGACATATATTCTAAGCAATGAATTGGAGTGAATCAAATCAAGGGAATTACAAGCATTGGTCCCTAATTCGTCAGAAAAATTGTAAAGTGAGATATACTTTTTTCAAATTGCCTTAAACAACCCTAAATGATCGGACACAATCTGGTCATTATAGTAAATGGGAGGAGCGTATTGAAACTAGTCAATCTATGTAAATTCTAGTGACTTTAAATGTTATCGCAAATGTAGGCTAAAACAGCTAAGCAGTGACTATAACTGAGTTAGAGAAGTTTTTCAAATCAACTATTTTATTTGCATGTCATTTTACAATTCAATTTGTAATTTAATGGATAAACCCCTGAGCGTTCGTCGTAAAACAGTGAAAGATTAAAGTAGGTTTAATGAAATATATCAAAAGAGAAATTTTGCAAAACATGAGAAATTTCTAAAAAAAAATTCTCTGTTTTGTGCTTATTTATAAAACCATTTTCCACTTTCCATGTTTATATCTGCGCTCATTTTGCACGATGAAACGTTTCAGTCTATCAGAGAAATATTGAACGCTTTTTTTCTCCAGATCCTTTGAGAAATATTAAAATGTTTTATAATAGCTGTAACGTTAATCATTTTACTCAGATTAGTAAATGAGCTTTTGCTAATTATCTAATAAAATGATTACAGAATTTGCTAATAATACAGACTGGATTTTTACCTTCTAATGTTTAAAATCCAGGCGTTTTTCTGATGCCCAAGAGAACTATAACCCTAGTTAAAAAATGAATGCTTTAGCACAGGTTTCTCCAAACTCTGGCCCTCCAGATGTTGCTGAACTACAATATCCATGATTCTATGAATGAAATAGAGAGACTGAGAATCATGGGAGTTGTAGTTCAGCAACATCTGGAGGGCCGGAGTTTTGGGGAAGCATGCTTTAGCACAACAACTTGAAGGGACAAAATGAAACACCTAGCCTACTATGGGAGGGGGTGTGTAGCCATCAGTTATGTTAGGGAAATGTGTTAAAGAATCAAACACAGAGAAATGGGACAGAGTTCAAAGACTGGAGCAATCGCCATGGAAACTAGTGGAAGCAATATACTCATTCCATTGGTATCCGTGGTGATTGTTGTGGTTTTAGAACTTTGGCCAACACTTTTATTAGTCACCCCTATAGATTCCATTTATACAAAAGAACATTTTTTTAAAATTCACAGTATACATGTTAATTTTTTTGACAGATGTTACAAAATGACTGAAAAGGTAAACGGTTACAGGATTTTTAATATTTTGTTCACTTGTCCCCAGATATAACTTCTGAAAAATTAATATATATAGAAATATACATTCCGGTATTTAAAGAAATGCTGTATTCTCTGTTCTTTTTTTTTTTTTTTTTTGCATCTGCAAAAATAGCACATTCAAAATCAACAGGTAAAAAAGACAAAGTCTGACAAATTTGATAAATTGTGTCAAAAATTCACAGACAGACAGAAAAGTGACATTTTGCTAAATCCCTCCCAGAGTTTATGTTTCTACTTCTACAATGTGCGTTCTGGCTGTGCCTGGATTGAATTGGAATGTGACGTCAATCTTTACCGTACATTTAAAACAGAGCCTCATAGGTTGAAATGAGCTATATGCAATTTTAATGTTTTATTCAATTAATTTCTAGAAGAAGTGACAGTATCTCTTTAAAGCTAATTGAAGCAAGCAAGGCTCTATTGCGTATTTAGGAATCAACCTGAACAGAAAGAAACTGCATTTCTCAGCCTGTTAAAACGTTTGAAATGTTTTGAAATCAAGGTGTGAACATTTATGATAAATAAAATCAATGTGTGATAATTGGTAATAGATATATAATATTGTCTATTTTAATGCGTCAGCGTATCTTCCAATATGGGAAGGTGTGGATTTGTGATGGGTAGGTGAGCCTTCAGGATGGTATTGCTAATTACAGGATTTGCGCCACTGGTGATGCATACTGACAGTGTGAGACTGACGGACAGCCTCATGGTTGGCTACCTACCTGCAGAAACATGCAGAGATTGCTGCTGAAGTGCCCCCATACAGCACTATGCTGTCCGAGGACTGATCCCTGGTGTCCCCAGATGTGGATACAGAATATCAGGAAATTAAATCAGGACGTCAGGACAAGATCCTAAGACAAGGACAGATGGGAGGAACCTATTGGACAGCTTTTCTTAACAGTTTAAAGTGAGGTTTCACTGAGTATGAGGACCCAGAGCCAGACATGCAGACATACAGACAGAAAGATAAAACGAGAGAGATACTTATGGCTAGAGAGTCCATAAACATAGAACAAATATCAATCTCAAAATAACTAAAATCTGAAATTCTAGTTTTATATTGGTGCATACTGGCTATACTGTATATAGATTTAGAAAGTTTGATTCTTTATAAACAATAAAACATACAACAAATAATAAAAGTTACAGAAAAGAATGACCGCTTGGCCATTTAGAAATCCAGCTAAATCCTTCCAACCTGTATATGACATTGTCTTTTTATTGCTTTACACTCACCTCCACAACCACTGTGGAGATAAGGCTAGCACACATGAAAACTCAAACAGTGGGGCCTAGCTAGACTTACATCCCAAAAGCTGAGAAAGACCTACTTCCTGCTCCTGGGGTACATCAGAATAGAGTTGCCCAAAATGTTACTGGAGATTTGTGAGACGTTTTTTGATTTGGTTGATTGCTGACAGTGTTTCCACAGCAGCTTAGCAGAGCACAGAGGGAGACATTCTTGCTGTGGCACCCAGTGTGGGTACCGTACATGTCTAGGCCCTTGATGTGGCCTAGTCCGCTCCTGGCAGTGTGATGGAACTTATCTGCCTCCATATTCACTAAGCAGGTTCCCTGGGGGCAGATCCTCTCTCTTTACATTGGTGGAAATTACTGTCCATCTAAGGAAAATGTAAGCCTGGAAGAGCCTGATTGGCTCTCATATCCATGTGGTACGGAGAGAAGGACAAATGCCAAAGTTCATTTGACCCAACAGTGAGAATGACACGGGATCAAACTGGAAAACTGGCCTCTAGAATGAATGCACACTAGTAATGAGTATCCTGAAAGCTTTAACTATTGCTTGGTTGTTTGTTTCTTTTTACAGCAATTTCTCATTAAAATGACCTAGGGTTCAACAATGAAGCTTTTATTAATGTATTAAATGAATTAAGAAAAAGGGAGAGTAAATGTTATAAAATAAAGATAAATGGCAGAGGTGCTGCCTGTCATGATTTGTGTTGGAGATATAGACGGTTGGGCCGTAGAAGGTGTCACAGCCTCGGCTGTAATCAGACTGCAGCTTCACTCACTGATACAAAGAGGTGACATTGTTACTTACAGATTCTGATAAACTGCAGCCTCTGCTCCTTGGCTGTTTACTGCAGCATGGGAGAGAAGAAGATAGGAGAAGAAAAAAAAAAGGTAGAGATACATTCACTAAACATAGGATGGCTGTGAGCTGACAACCAACATTTTTTATTTAGCAAATCTAGCCAAATTCGAGATTTCTTTCCAAAGCAGGTGCTGTGACATACGTTTTTAAAGTCATCCTTTATGACATAACAGCTCATGATTCAGTGAATAAACCCAGCAAGAAAGATACTTGAAAGCTAGTAAAGGCCAAACTATTTAATTGATGGTTGTAACTCTTGCCAGCCGTGTCATTTCGTTAAGCAAAAAATAATTTGTAAAAACATGACGGTTCATTTGGCAGTTTGCGTA